TCATCCTCCTCCACCGCACCTGCTTCTACCTCCGGTAAGCCTAGCCTCGCTCCTGCCCGCATCTGGGCAGCAGTGCCAGAAAATCACCCGGCAGGAGAGTGTCAGGAGAGGAGGAGGAAAGGAGGAACAGAAGATTCTGAGAGGAGGTTAGGGAGTGCTCATCTGAAGGCCTCAGATTCTCCGGGAAGCACGTTTTTTTGGCTGGCAGCGAGGGGAAGAGGGTGTGGGCTCCCAGGGCTGAAGACGAGGAGAATACTGGAAACAGCTGCTTAAGAGAATGGGCGCGCTGGAGGAGAACTGGGCTGGCTTCCCTGGGCGGGATAGATGGCCCACTTGAGGATGTGGACCCCGGATTTAAGGTGGGACCGATCTTTGTGGTTGTAGCTTCTCTCTGCTAATATTTAGCTGTAGAGACAAACACTGAATTTATCCAGGGCTGGGGTTGCCATGTGGTCCCAACAGAAAACAGTGGGCATGTTGAGGATACTGGCTGAAGAGCTGGAGCAGAATCCATAGACTTGACCAGGTCGCCTGGCTTAAATATCTGTTTGTTTACAAAACTAAGCTTCCAGAAAGCAGGGATTTGTTCTCCACTGCAATCCCACCAGGTGGTCAGTCCCCTCTGTTGAAATAAACTTCTAGGCCCAAGATGGAGCCCTTCCTGCCTGGGTGCCGCATCAGCAAACCGAGACGTAATAACTTTTGTGTCCCTGTAAATGCTCTGCTTGACCAGAAAAGCAGCTATCCAGTCAGGGCTCTGGCAGCAGGAAAGAGGGCTGGAAGGAGAGCAGGTGGGGTTGAGGGAGACCTCTGAGTGCACGGTTTCTGCGGCCGGTCAGTTCTGGATAAGCTGCTCAGGACATGGGGGCTGAGGTGGAGTGGAGGTAGGGGGACCAGTTCATCTCAGTTCACCCAGGACTCTCCTGAGTTCAGCACTGAAAGTCCCATGTCCTGGGAACCCTGCGTCCAGTGACTATGGGCCGATTGGTCACCCTCCGTGGAGGATGAGAACACCTCTGAGAAGCCGGAGAGTTGATGTGTGGTCTTGGGAAGCTGCGGGACTGATCACTCTTGTGGGCACTGTGTCATTTTTTGCCACACTCCATGTGTGACCCCTTGGGCATGTTTTCTCATCAGTGAAAGGGAGCTTTTTGTAGCCCTGAACTCTAGGAATAACAACTATGCTAAAAATGGCAAATACTTACAAGAGTGGGAACACTGAAGTGTGGCTCCATCAGCATTGTCATGTCAGCAAATTAAGTGCATTGTACTGAGAGCCTTAAAAAATCCTATCAACAAAAGTCACCTGGCTAATTCTTTTTTTTCTTTCTATTGGAAATTTAACTCCTGATTTATTGAAGCAGCGTCTATTTTCTTAGAAACCTAATAATGTCAAGTTGTCATATTACGCAAAAGGACTATATACAAATATCATAATTTTATTTAATCAAGCATGGAAATCATATCATGAATGAAATAGTCTTTGGTTAAATAAACATATCTAGTTTTGAAAATAGATTTGACACTCCACATGCATTACATAGCACAAACCAAGCTTCATTACAATTCAAATCTTATAATAACCGAGTTACTGTTATAGCAATCAAATAAGCATCAACAAATTATTCTAGGGAAGTTTTATTTTCTGAACAGTATTTGATGGTTAAATTATTAAAAATGAAATACAGACTTTCTGGAAAAATTGCAGAAATACTTTTCAACCAAAAGAACCAACTCTTTTGGTGAATCAATATATGCAAGACATAGTGAAACTAGTAACATCAGAATTACACTAAAAAAAAAAGAATTACACTTTCTATGTCAACGTCATGGACATGTACAATCGCTGTAAATAATAAAATGGGGGTCAGGATATAACTTATTCTCAGAAACAAAAGAAGAATTCTTTCCCAGACTACTTAGAGGAAGATTACTGGAAATATGGTTCTTTGCTATAAAGATCAGTGGAGCATCATTATGTGTAGACTCAGATACCTATACACACGCGTAGCTTACTCAACACGTCTGTGTCGGAAACTTGAAGATATCCTCCCCTTCTAAGTGTCCCACCCAAGATCTATACAGCAGATGTGTTGAATTCTTATTAATTTGTATTCAATATTAAATTGAATACATTTAGAAAACTTCTAAAGAAATCTTCTCTCTCTTCCGCAAATGCATATATTAATGGTTAACAAAAGAGAACTGTTGTTGTCTTTTCTGCTAGGTTTTGGCACATAGTTCAGTTCTTCATTTCATTAGGGACCAACAAGAGAGAGCGCGTAAATGCCTTATTTAAGCTAAGCCTTAAATTTTGTTTATATTAAACTTTTTATTCTGAGATAATTGTAGATGCTGAGATAATTGCAGATAATTGTAGATTCACATGCAATTGTAAGAAACAGTACAATGAGATCCTGGGTGACTTTTACCCAGTTTCCCCCAATGGTAACATCTTGCAAAACTATAGTACAGTATCACAACCTGGATCTTGACATCGATGTTGTCCAGATATGGAACATTTCCATCATCACAAGGGTCCCTCTCTCCTTCTCTATTTTCCTCCTTGGGATCCCTGACTCTGTTCTCCATTTCTAGGATTTTGCATTTCAAAATGTTATATAAATGGTATTATGCAATATGTATCCTTTTGGCATTGGCTTTTCCACTCAGCACAATTCTCTGGAGATTCATCCAAGTTGTGGCTTGTATCAGAAATTATTTTTATTGCTGAGTAGTATTCCATGGCATGGATGTATCACAGTTTGTTTCCCCAGCCACCCATTAAAGGACATCTGACTGTTTACAGTTTTTGAATATTATGAATAAAGCTGCTATGAACATTCATGTACAAGTGTTTGTGTGAACATAAGTTTTAATTTCTCTGGGATAAATGCCCAACAGTGTAATTGCTGAGTGGTATGGCAGTTGCATGTTTAGTTTTATAAGAAACTGCCAAATGGTTTTCCAGAGTGGCTGTTCCATTTTGCATTCCCACCAGCTATATATGACTGATCCAGTTGCTCTGCGTTCTTGCCAATGTTTGGTGTTGTTACTATATTTTAGCAATTTTGGTGGGTGCATAGTGGTATTTCATTGTGGTTTTAATTTGCAGTTCCCTAATGACTAATGATGTCGAGCACCTTTCCATGTGCTTATTTGCCATTTGTATATCCTCTCCAGTGAAACGTTTGTTCATGGTCTTCATTTTCTAATTGGGTTTTTAAAACAACTGTTGAGCTTTGAGAGTTCTCCATCCATTCTAGATACCAGTCCTTTGTCAGATGTGTGGTTTGCAAATATTTTTTCCCAGTATGTAGCCTGTCTTTTCATTCTCTTCACATGATCTTTTGTAGAGCAAAAGTTTAAAATTTTGATAAAGTCTAATTTATCAAACTTTCCTTTTATGGATTGTGCTTTTGGTGTCAAGTCTAAGAACTCTTTGCTTAGCCTTGGGTCCCAGAGATTTTCTATTTTTTTAAAAAAAGTTTTATAGTTTTACATTTTATGTTTAGGGTTATGATCTATTTGGAGTTAATTTTTGTATAAGGTATGAAGTTTAGGTTGAGGTGCTTTTTATTTGCCTATGGCTATCCAATTCCTGCAGCACATTTATTGAAAGGTCTATCTTCCTTCCCCTGAATTGCTTTTGTACCTTTATGAAAGATCAATTGAGCATGTTTGCATGGCTCTATTTCTAGCTTCTCTATGCTATTCCATTGATCTATGAGCCTATGCCTCCATCAATACCACACTGTCTTGATTACCGTAGCTGCATAATAAATCTTTCTATTGGATAGAGTGATTTCTCCTACTTGCTCTTCTTTTACAAGATTGCTTTAGCTGTTCCAAGGCCTCTGCCTCGGAACTTTTAGAATAAGCTTGAATATGTCTACAAAAACCTTGCTGGGATTTTGATAGAAATTGCATTAAACCTATAGATGAATCTGGGGAGAATTAACATCTTTACTATTTTGTGTCTTCCAATTCATGAACATGCTATGTCTCTTCGTTTGTGTAGGTCTTTGATTTCTTTCATTAGAATCTTTTAATTTTAAGCCTTTAGATCCTGTGTTTTGTTAAATTTATACCTAAGTATTTCTTTGAAGTGATTGTAAATGGTATTGTGTTTTTAATTTTGGTTTCCACTTTGTTCATTATTAATATACAGAAATGTGATTAAATTTTGTGTGCTGATCCTGTATCCTGAGACCTTGCTGAACTCCCTTACTAGTTTTAGGAGCTTTTTTTTCAAAATATATTCTTTGGAATTTTCTATGCAGACAATCACGTCACCTGTAAATAGGGATACATTTCTTTCTTTCTTTCCAATCATATGTATTTTATTTCTTTTTCTTGCCTTATTGCCATGTCGATAACTTCCAGTATAGACTTTAAAATTTTAACCAATGTAAATTTCCAGAGATTTGCTGAAACTTACTGGCCTGAATGGGGCCCATCATTCTCAAAAAGATGCATTTTCAACACTCTTCTAATATCCAACCTGTTTAGTTTTCATTTCCTGTAATTTAGATAAATAACTGATGATGATAACATTCATCGGTGTTTACAAATGGCACCTACACTGCAAAGCCCCTTGAAGCAGCAGAGTGACCTTTAATGAGCTTAGTGGAACCTGATTATAAAAGCAAACCAAGCACAGGAACATTGTCCGGAAGGCAGCACCAGGAGGCAGTGATGCTCACAGAATTTAGGTTTCAGGTTGCCTTCCGGAGTATGCTGTTCTTCCAGTTTTCCCCTCTTACCTCTAAATTGGGGGTACCAATAATTTTAAACTCTGAAAATATGAAATATCCTCAAAGTTACCTTATTCTTATGTATTAGAAATTTCTATTGTTAGAAGCTCTTTTCAGAACTGACTTTTGATAAATAAGGAATTCTATGCATCTTACTATGCTTTTAGTAACAGACACTTAAAAAAATATATTGACAACTCAGACTCCCTTCATGTCTTAATTTTTTAAACAAAAATAACACCATTAATAACGCTTTTATTTATTTTAAAAATGTATGTTTCCTATATATAGTGTTGTGTTTTTATCTTATACAACACACCTAACCCACCAAAGAGAGTTTATAGCCTTTATAAAAAGACAAAAAACTGAGTACTAGATCCTCTACAGACTCAGTATAAGAGGCCTGGGCTATGTGTACACATGGGTCCTTGCAGGCCTTGGTGTGTACACAGGTACAATGTAGTTTCTTGCAAACGTGAGGAGCTCCTGCATAAAAACTGTAGAAAATTTTAAGTCTGTAGTAAGAATCCAATCGCAGAGACTTCTTTTGTTTTGGTAGGAAGCAGTGGCAAATCATCCACAGGCAGGTTAGTTATCACTTTCCTGAAGTTCCTGGTTAAACGACCACCTGTGCATTTCAGTAACTCTTTGTCTTGATCTTAAAGCTAGAAATCTTGCAGGCACCACTCTGCTCATTGTGTGCAGTGAGTTCTGGAGTCAGACGTTGACTTAGCCTCTCTGAGCCTCAGTTTTCCTGCCTGTGAGTAGCAATGATGATATGTGTCTTGGTGGTACGGCTTAAATGAGGTGATCCCGTGAAGGGCCCGGCCCAAGGCTGGGCAGCGAGCGCGACCTCAGTTACTGACTTCTGTCCTTCCTTCTCCTATCCGTTGCCTGTGCTTCCTTCCTGGGCTCACCCTCTCCCCTCTCCTCTCTACACACCACAGAAGTAGGTGCATCTTACTTTGGGCCACTCCTCATGGCTAGGAGAAGGGAGCCCTCTGTCAGAAGCGTTAGCAGTGGGATCTGGGAGCTTGATGCTGAAGCTGTTTCTCCTCTTCAAGGTACTGCCATGGCCTGCTACACAGAACAGGGCTGTGCACAATGCTGGGGGGCCTCATGCTGTTTGTCATGGTACAGTGGGAAAAAAGCTTCAGAAGTGACCAATACACTCCAGCAAATGTGACAATAATGCACGCGCATTCCAGTGGCATGATGAGTAATCCGCAGACAAACGATCCTCTGCCCGCCCCCTAAACACCACATGGGGGCTGTGGGATGCATATTTAGTTCCGTTGTGGTTGCAATGAGCTCAGAACCAAGACACTGCCTTTGGCACAGCAAGCAACAAAAATACTCTCACAATACAAAGCAATCACATTGTACATACAAGCATAATTTTTTTTTGTCTTAAAGAATGGAACAGTAACTGTCTCAACATCTCACTTTGACAATCAACAATGATTCCCAAATAGGTGAGTCTGGACCGAATACAACGTCAACAGAGACTATGTATGTGAAGTACCTGGATGAGCTGGGGATTTGCAAACGACCACTTGAATTTCTGGTCTAGTGCAGGGTTCCCTGGTCACCCTCTTTTGTGCTGCTATAAGGATGACAGGGCTGCCCTCAACCCTTCAACAAAGAGACAGCAGTCAATAGCTGGCTGGCAGCTTCACTTAAAAGGTTTTCATTTTACGCAAGCACCGAGGACTTTCTTCTTAGTCCATCAGGCCTTTCTTGGAACTGCTTTGAAATATTCCTCCCTTGAAATGTCAGATACTCCTCCATACCATTTCTGAAGCCAGATATGTTCTATCCTCATCTTCATAAAGAACCATTCATACTGCCGAGGCCACTTCCTCATAACCGGGTGTCTGCAGAAACAAAGGAGGGGTCACTATAGAGCTGTTCTTATCAGAGGGTGCGGCCTCCCCGGGCACAGGTCAGGCTCCACGTAGCCTTTGCCAGGTCGTACTACCCTCCAGACTCCAGGCCTCATTTGGACTGAGATGTGCTCAAACCAGCCAGAGGCCAAAGCCAGGGAGCCAGGGGTGGGGTCTGGGGCAGCCTTAGGAAGGCAGGAAACTGCGGTCCCCACAGTGCGGGGAACAGCTCCAGTCTTGAGTCAGGCTCCTCAGTTCCACTGCTGATGGTCTGTGATGCCTCCTGGGCCATTTGCCCTCTCAAGCCGGGTCTCCTTAATGTCATGGGGGATGACAGTGGTGGTGCTCAGATGCCAGGGCTGCATGGGGAGCACCCGCACAGAGCAAGTGCTCAGTGAGCGCCGGTTATCGTTACCGGGAAACATAAAGAAAGGCTTTATGCATCTCTGTATGAAATGTTGAAAGAAACGTGGGCCCGTGAGACAAATGTGTTCTTGGGAAGATTTCCATTCCTGCAGCAGGCTTCGAACTGTTGGGCCAAGTCGAGAGCCAGCCGGAGTGGACAGGGAAGGTCCCTCACCGTCCCCCTTCTGCTGTTTGCTGATTGGCCTTCTCCCCCAGGCATAGCCCTAAATATGTGCCTTACCCTTGATGCTGGCGGCTGTGGATCACCTTTTTAAAACTTCATAAAAATAAAAATTTTATTTATATCTAAAAATGCTATAAACAAAATTCAAAAAATCAAGTGCAAACTGGGAAAAATATTTGCAACAATGCAAATGCAATAATAGGTTAATGACCTTTTTTAAAAAAAGAATTTATTGGGGCTGGCCCAGTGGTGCGGTGGTTAAGTACGCACGTTCCGCTTCTCAGTGGCCCAGGGTTTGCAGGTTCGGATCCCGGGTGTGGACATGGCACTGCTTGGCAAGCCATGCTGTGGTAGGCGTCCCACATATAAAGTAGAGGAAGATGGACACAGATGTTAGCTCAGGGCCAGTCTTCCTCAGCAAAAAGAGGAGGACTGGCAATAGTTAGCTAAGGGTTAATCTTACTCAAAAAAAAAAAAAAGAATTTATTTAAAAATAATCATAAATACAGAGAAGCTGAAAGTACAGTATAAAGGACTATTTTTTCCTAAACCATTTGAAAGTGAGTTGCTGATCCAATGCCCCCACACTCCAAATGCTCCTGCAAGCCAAGATAATAAAGTAATTGTTGTTGTTTTAAGCAAACCAGTTTTGTACTAAAATGGGCACAGATTTTGGCACCTGTAAGGGGGGGTGCAGGTGTAACAAATCCTAATCCACAGGACACGGGCTTCAGGTCCAGGGGGGAGTGGAAGCTGGAAGGACCTTGAGGAGACTGACAGCGAGGGTTTGAAAGAAGGTAAAGATCAGGTTACTGGAAGGTTATTATCAGGGTGGTAAAGGGACCCTCGTTGCAGCGAGGTGGAAAGTTTGACAACACTGTTGCCATCAGTGATGTGGAAAATGGGAAACGAATTTAATGAACCCAGTGGTCTGCCTAAGAGTTGGGCCTCTTCTCACTGCCTATCCTATGAGAGGAGCAGCTGGAACTAAAGAATGATGGCTGAGTTTGTGCACACACGTGCGCACACACATACACACACACTCAATGTTTACTTATCTATGTATGGAAAACCGTGAGTCCATGCTGATCCACCCCATCCCGATCCAACCCCCAACGCATTCTAGCCTCTCCCTTTGTAACCCATGCAGTGGGAAACCAGCCTTCCCCTTTCCTTCCTGGTTCCGGTTTTGATAATTCCTCCCTCCCTTGTAAAATCTTCCCATCTCCGTGGGGTTGTGATGGCCCCACCAACTCACCACCTGCTTTTGTCTTACTCTTCCACTAACTTTTGTTGTTGGTGCTGTCAAGTGGATTCCGACTCCTAGCGCCCCTGTGGACAGCAGAGCAGGACCCTGCCTGGTCTTCTGGCGCCATCTGCTCCCCTTCTGGAGCTCTATCAGACACTCCACTGCCATTCACAGGGTTTTCATGGACAATTTTTTCAGAAGTGGATGGCCAGGTCCCTCTTCCTGGTCTGTCTCAGTCTGGAGGCTCTGCTGAAACCTGTCCACCATGGGTGACCCTGCTGGTGTTTGAAATACCAGTGGCAGGGCTTTCAGCATCATAGCAACACGCAGCTGCCACGGTATGACAACTGACAGATGGGTGGTGTGGTTCCCTGACTGGGACTGAACCCAGGCTGCCGTGGTGAGAGCGCCGAATCGTAAACACTAGACCCCCAGGGCTGGCTCCACTAATCTAGACAAGTGTCAACCTACTTGCTTTCCTGTGAGGATACCCACCACTCCTTGCCCCAGCTCTGACCTTCCCCTCCAGGCTGCCCCCTGAATGGACACCCTCCTCATCCACGGAGACAGACGCTAACACCCCTGAAAGACCACCCCTCCATGCACACCCCCCTCACCTGTGCCAGCTCCGACCCCCACAGTGCGCCATCCTCTCACTCCTTCTGACCTCTACAGCAGTGATTTTTAAACTTTAGCATGCATGCTAAGTTCCTGGGACATGCTGTTAAGATTTAAACCGTCTTATCTTCAGAGAATTCGATTCAGTAAGCAGGTCACGGGTGTGCCCAGACAGCCGTGTCTGCGCATGCATCCTAAGTGGTTCAGATGCAGGGGTGAGAGGACCCCACTGAGTCTGCCCTTTCACTCCTGGCTCTGTGCTCTGCTTAGAGTGGACACTGGAAAGTATTTGTTGTGTATTCCGTTTCAAGGCAGGGCACTGTCAAAGGTTGGAAGCATGCAAGGAGTAGTGCCTGGAGCCCCTCAACGTGGGGTGCTCTCCAAGACGGTGTCAGCCACTTGCCTAGCCTCTGCTGCCACCTCGAGCAGCCAAGACAGCTAGTAGGAGGTTGGCAGTGCTGCCACCCAGACCCTTACTGTCATCACCTCAGAGGCATCAAAATGACACAGCCCTGACCTCTGCCTTTCATTACTGTATATTTCTGGGCAAACCAACTCGAAAACACATACAAACCTTGAAAACATGGCTTGCTTGGCAAATTCTACTTCTTCTGGAGACACTGCAATCATCTGGCCAGTGAGCGTTAACCGGGCACATCGGGGATCTTCTGGGTCAACGATATTTTTTCTGCATTCAAAGAACATTTTTCATATATTAAATGACTACGGAACATCAGCCTGAAATAGGAAGGATTTTATTAAAAATTAAAAATAGCAGTCACATTGCTGGTTATATCATTCAGATTTTTACACTGTCTGTAATTACGTTAAAATCCTCTGACATGGGCAGTGTGAGAGGTGTGTCTGGGTAAGTTTGATGTCAGTCTGCATCCTCGGGGCAGTGGATAGCATCTGAAGCACCTCAGTCAAGACTGCAAATGCCGGGGCTAGCTAGCAAGATCCCAGTCAGGAGCCGCTGTCCACAATCATGTTGCTGCTCTGCACACCTCCAGGGGGCACCACTCGCTTCAAGACAATAGGAATGGTGCTCCTGGAGTAATGCAATGCATCTGCCTGGATCCAGTGGTGACCGAGATAAAGGCTTTCAGATATCACCATCAGAATATGGAGGTTCCTTACTTAACATAAAGAATGTTAGAAATAAGAACAGTAATGTGACTGTATCTGTGACTGCTTGCTGATAAGCGCTTCCATGGTCGCAGAATTCTTCTAAGACTTGCTTTCATTGTAAGAGTTGCCTGGCAGTGGGGGTGTGGGAAAGGGAGCTTTAAGGTCTCCCCTAACTCTAATCATGTGAGGCTACCTGTTTCTGGAAGAAGCATAAACAGGAGAATCTGATTCTTCAGATGTTCAGATGGTGGCTTCATCTAAAGTGCCAAGAGAAAACACTCCTTGGTCACAGCTGGTGCATTTTGCAAGCTCTCTCCGTAAGTGTTTGGGAAGGTGGTTCAAAGACGGGGGCAACACAATGATAATGCTAGTCACTTGCATTCATATAGTGCCATTCGCTGCTATAATCGGATTTGTTAACTTTTATCCAAAGCGCCTTTGGACAGTACCTCATTTTGTTTGATCTTCATGACAACCCTAGGAGGTAGGTGTTATTATTAACCTCATTTTAGAGATAAGGGAAACGAGACCCACATGGGTTAACTGACTTGCCCAGGGCCATGGAGATCGCAGGGAAGCAGCCAGGCCTGTCAGACCCAGGGCCTCTGGTCTCAAGCAGGAAGGCAAGCTGCCTTTCAACCTGTCACGTGTATCCGGGCACATCCCAGACTTACCCTCTCCTTCAGCTCCCAGATCCTATGGGTCCTCAAGGTTTATGGACTCTCTGTCTTATTATCTAATTGTGGACTTTTTAATATCATACCCAGAACATTTTCTCAAAACCTTGCCTTGGGGGTAAAAAAAAAAAAAATGCTAGCACATGGGCAAAAAAGACTACATGTAAAGATATTTGTTACAGCATTGTTTGTGATGGCAAAGATTGGAAGTAACCAAATGCTTAGCAGTGGGGGAACACAAACAAGTTAAGTTTTATCAATACTAAGAAATACAACCTTTAAAAAGAATGAGATATAGTTAAAGGTGTCCGTGATAAAGATATAAGTAAAAATAACCCAATTAAACAATGGAGCAAAGACTTTAACAGACACCTCACCAACGAAGATATACAGGTGGCAAACAAGCGTATGAAAAGATGCTCCACACCAAAGGTCATGATGGAAAGGCAAATGAAAACAATGAGACTCCACAATACACCTATTAGCATGGAAAAAATCCAGAACACTGACAACACCAAATGCTGGCAAGGATGTGGAGCAACAGGAACTCTCATTCATTGTTCATGGGAATGCAAAACGGTTCAGCCACGTTGAAAAGCAGTCTAGCTGTTTCTTACAAACTAAACACACTCTTACTATATGATCCAGCAATCGTGCTCCTTGGTACTTACCCAAAGGAGTTGAAAACTATGTCCACACAAAAACGTGCACACGGATGTTTATATCAGCTTTATTCATAATTGCCAAAACTGGAAGCAACCAAGGTGTCCTTCAGTAGGTGAATGGATAAATACACTGTCGTACATCTAGACAATGGAATATTGTTCAGTGCTAAAAAGGAATGAGCTATCAAGCTATGAAAATACAGGGAGGAAACTTAAATGCATATTACTAAGTGAAAGAAGCCAATCTGAAAAGGCTACATAATGTAAGATTCCAAATATATGTCATTCTGGAAAAGGCAAGACTATGGAGACAATAAAAAGATCAGTGGTTGCCAGGAGTGTGCGTGCGTGTGTGGGTGCTGTTGGGAGAGAAGACTGGGCAGAGCAGAGAGATTTAGGGCAGTGAAAACACTGTGCGATACTATAATGATGGATACATGTCATCAAACATTTGTCCAAACCCATTAAATGTACGACACCATGAGGGAACCCTTAGGTAAACTGTGGACTTTGGGTGATTATGATGAGTCACTGTAGGTTTATCCTTGGTAAAAAAAGGTACCATGCTGGTGAGCAATGTTCATAATGGGGGAGGCTATGCATGTGGGGGCTTAGGTGGTATATGGGAAATCTCTGTACCTTCCTCTCCATTTTATTGTAAACCTTAAACTGCTGAAAAAAATAAAGTGTTAAAAAAAAGACATCAGTAAAAATAGTTAGCTGAAAAACAGTATGTGCAGTATGATCCCATTAAAAACAACCCTAAAGGCCAGCCCCACGGCCTAGCGGTTAAGTTTGGTGCACTCTGCTTTAGTGGCTTGGGTTCGGTTCCTGGATGCAGACCTACGTCACTTGTCAGCCACACTGTGGCAGCACCTCACATACAAAATAGAGGAAGACTGGCACAGATGTTAGCTCAGGGTGAAACTTCCTCAGTAAAAAACACACAAAAAACCCTAAAACTTCAGATATGTTTATACATGCTTAGAAAAAGTTCTGGAAGGATATATCCCAAGGCTATAACTCTGGTTCTATCAGGAGAAAGGGATTTATGGGGATTTAGGTGTGGGGTGAGGAGTCCCTTTTTATTTTATATGCTTCTATAGTCTTGGAATAATACAATGATTTTTGTACTAATTTCATTATTCAAAGAAAAAGAAAGCATAAACTAGCCCATGGTGCCCCCGAGAAGGTGCCTCCTTGGTGGCAGAGATGAGTGAAAGGGGACCTTTCTGAAATTTTGTTTTGGGGTCTCAGAATTTAATCTTATGGAAAAGACTGTTCACATGGTCTAAAGAGTTGTCAATCCTGACACAGATCAACAGGACTGTCATATGGAAAACCTCCTTTACCATCATGTGGGAATTTCCTTAGTCCTGTGCTGCATCACTTCTTTCCTGGGGCCTGTATCTTTCTCTTTCTTCCTCATTTTGGTAAGGTAGTTCTGCCAAAAACATACACGTTTCCTGAGGAGAGGTAGATGGCAAATAAAATTCCTTGAGGTTTTATGTCTGAGGATATGACCGGTTTACCCTCATTCTTGTGTGAGAGTTTGGCTGGGTATTGAATGCTATGTTTGAAATGATTTCCACAAACACTGTTGAAGGCATTGCTTGATGCCAGTGCTGCCCTTGAACAGTCGAAATGCGCTGCAATTCTCTTCTTTGCTCTTTTGTATGGGAACTTCCCTTTGCCCCTCTGAAAACTTTCATAAACTAATCTTTACCTACGATTTCCTGAAATTTCATGATAATGCGCTTTGATACAGGCTTTAAAAAAAATCCAGGGGCTGACCCCGTGGCCGAGTGGTTAAGTTCACGCGCTCCACTGCAGGCGGCCCAGTGTTTCGTTGGTTCGAATCCTGGGCGCGGACATGGCACTGCTCATCAAACCACGTGGAGGCAGCATCCCACATGCCACAACTAGAAGGATCCACAATGAAGAATACACAACTATGTACCAGGGGGCTTTGGGGAGAAAAAGGAAAAAAAATAAAATCTTTAAAAAAAAAAATCCATTGTTTTGGGTTTTGGGTTGTCTTCAACCTGGAGACTCATGTCTTTTGGTTCTGGGGAATTTTTCTTCAATTATATCTTTGATCATTTTTTCCTTTCATTTTCTCAATTCACTTTTTCTGGAATTATGTTACTTGACTGTTGGACCTTTTGGATCAGCCCTTTAATTTTCTTATTGTTTCTCTCACATGTTTCATCTGTGTTTTTTTAATCCTACTTTTTGGGAAATTACTTCAAATCTACCTTCTAATGCTTTGAGTTTTTTATTTCTGCTATCATATTTTTAATTTTTAAGAGCTCTTTTTCTGTCGTGAGTGTTTTTATTTTAAAGCCTATCCTTCTGCAATATACTGTCTTCTGTCCTGAAAAATTCCTTCCTTTTCTCTGTCTTGTTTTAGGTCTCCCTGAGTTACTTTTATCTGTTTGTTTTGCATGGGAGAGACTTTCTTGAAGGATTGGTTCTCCTTGGCTATCATAGTTAAAATGTGGCACCCCAAAGCTGACTGGGAATTCTGATGGCATAGGTATGGCTTTTGACCCGTGGACTTCACCGTAGGGTGGTCAGGTTTGGTGGTTTTGTTTAGGGACCCTTAACTATTGGTATCTGTATGTTTTTTCCTCCTGGGCTGTTCAGTATCTCTGGGGAAATTCAGACAAAGCCTGTTAAAGATGACCTCAGTCCAAAATTCACAGGAAGGAGCAAGAGCCAGTAGAAAGAGCAAATATCAGAAATAGATGCCCAAGACATATATCTAATTGATTATAAGATAAAAATATCTAAAATGAATAAGGTCTCTCAGTCTTTAACGAGAGTGTAGCTCTTCGGGGGTCTGTTTTATATGGGGATCTTACTTCTAACTCTTCACCTCACTCAGCCCAAGATACTGTTTCTTTTTCCTCCTTGTACGAAGATCCAAGCCTCTAATTGTCCCAGACTGAGAAATCCCACTAGAGAAGGCCTGGTTCTGGTTTTTCGCTTCATCTTCATTCCTGACCCCTGGGGATTTCCTTTTGTGTCCTATGAGCATGCATTGAAAAGAACGGTTATCTTCCTATTGTTTTTTAGATTGATGAAGTCCATTTTAAACTTTAAACAATGAGTTTTTTTCTGTTTTTAGATTATAAACATAGTCAATTTCCATGTAGAAGATTTGGAGACTATAAAAATACACATTAGCAAAGAAAAATGAGTGTTTTTTA